AGTTGGAACTGATATATGATAATTATTAACTATTAGTTTTATGATCGTTTCAAATGATAACAATATAACAATATAATATAAAACAATATAACAATATAATATAATATAATGTATACACAATTATTATTTGAACTCTTATTATTGTTATGAAATGTCAATTGCAATAAAAGAAATAAAATGTTTATACTAACAGAATTCATTTTTCATTTTATCACAGTATATAGAATGGTCTAGAAATAGTGAGTATATACTATGTGCAAACATAAAAAAAGCTATTGTTCAAGTATATTCTATTTGTTATCCTGAATGGAAATATAAATTGACAGAAGGCAGTGCTGGTTTAGAAAGTGTTACCTGGTCCTCTGATAGTAAATACATTTTAACATTATCAGATTTTAACGTAAGTAGTAAGTTTGCTCGATATTAAATATACTAGCACTTCAATATATTTTTATTAAAATTATTGCAATACTTAGATTCAGATATCTATATGGTCTCTGGAGAATCAAAGTGTAACTCACATACAAAATGTGAAATCTTCTTTCCATAAATTATATTTTACTCCGAATGGTAATAAATTAGCAGTAGTAGTTTCAATTGAAGGTAATGATAATATTGAAATTTATAAAACTGATACCTGGAAATTAAGCAAGGTAAGTAGTTTAATTCAAATAATTTGAATTTTAATATATAAAAATAACAAATTTTTTAAATTATTTCGTTACAAAATGTCTATATCATATATCTTAATAATGTGGTCAGATCCGCAACTTGCTAGTTGTAAAATACTAGAATATTTCTCTTGAGGCCTAAATTTAAGCCTTTTAACAGTTAAGTGATGTGCTTCAGAAGTATCATACATTATATACTTTTCCCATTCAAAGTTATTAGAAAACATTTTCAATTTCTGTATTTCTATAAATCCAGTCTCAAATCCTATTGCTAAAACATAAAAACCGTGAGGAATATTCTGTAATGAAAATGCAAGTGCTGTAATTGAAGTTTTCATATCCAAACTTGTAGTCGGAACAATTTTATCATCTGTAAAGTTTGGATTCCAAATTCCAATTTTCCCATCTCTGGAACCAGTTGCAAAGAAAGACGAGTCATACGTCCATGAACAGCACCATATTATACGAGTATGAAGACTATCTCTTTTTAAACTAGCTGCAATTAAGGTGTACATATTGTCTTTACATTCAAATAATGACCATCTTCTATCTCTAGAAACAGATAGTAGATATTTGTCATTAGGTGAAAATTCCATCTGTGTTACAGTTAATTGATGAGACATAAGTTTTTGAACTTGAGTCCATGTATTTGTACTCCATAGTAATATTGCAGAATGTTCTGGTGATGTTGATTTACATGCAGTTGCCAATAATGATCCGTCAAGTCTGGCAGCCATAGAGAAAATTTCATACCCATGACCATAAAGTTTTTGTAATTCTGGCCATAGTGTATTTTGCATTAACTCTTCTTCCGTTGGAGGAACATAATCTTCATTTTTAAAGTCATTAACTTCTACATCTTTAATTGTGATATTGTCATTAAATGTTGCTTTATTTGTTAAACCAAGAGCAGGTACTGATGCACTGTCAGCCACCATATTTTTAAAATCATCAACATTGGCAATTTTCATTAAATAGTTCCTAAATGTTGCTGGTGCTGTAAATATACGAACAACTTTCTCTTCTGCTCCTGAAGCAAACATATAAGGAGTTAGCATAACTAAACAAGACATATCATATCCATGAACTTGTGGCCGTCCAATTTCATGCCAAAATTCTGTTTTATCTTTCCAAGGTGCATGTATTCTGGTTGTCTGATCTGTACTTGCAGAAATTAAAAACCTATAACATGTAATTGTATATTTTTATATAGATTGCATAGACTATGCACATTTATTCTGAACAATTTTAAATACAAACCTTCCATTTGGATCCCAGTAAAGATCAATTACTTCACCAAAGTGACCACTTGGTACAGATCTTGGAATCCAATTTTTTATAGTAGTTGAATATTCCCAAATATGAAATGATCCTTGGTAACCATGTGCTAATATACTTAATCCACTATCACTAAATTTACAACCATAGAAACCCATTGAATTGCCACCAACTTCACCCACTCTTACTTTCTCAGACCAAATCCCAGTCACTTCATCTGGTTCCCATATAATCATAGATTTATCTAATGAGCAAGATAATAATCTTAAAATTCTATTTTTATCATTATGTTGCATTGGATACCAGTGTACACCATAAATCCAGCCTTCATGGCCATAAAGAACAGATTCCAAAGTAATATTATACTTTGTGCCATAATTAGTTATAAAGATTTGTTCTTTTTGATGCAATTTATCAACTGAGAATTCTGTGTTATTTGCAGAAATTTTCCATAATCGTATCATGCCATCTTGAGATCCACTTGCAAGAAAGATATTATTTATGTCATAGTTAAAATCCATACATCGTACCCAATCTTCATGCCCAGTTAAAATTTGAGCTTTTACAAAATACGATTTCTCTATAATATTAGAATGGGTTACATACAATTGAATTGTTGAATCTTCTATTGCAACAGCCAGAAGTGGTAAATCTGTGTCTGGTAGAAAAGAAAAACAAGCTTCTATTGGTAATTTCCTACCAAATGTAATTATTTGTAAACATTTTACATTATCATCCATGTCTCTTAACCATATTTTTAGATCTCCTTCAACAGATCCAGTGCATATCAATAATTTTACAAACTTTTCATTATTTAAAGAATTATGATCAGAAATGTATAACGAGTTGCTAAATATGATGTTGTGACCAACTTCTATGATAGAGTTACATTTAAACGATTCATTGGTTTTTCTCCAAATAATAGCTGTTCCATCTACCGAACTTGATAATAGCTCTGATTCGGCTTTCGAGTCGTTTCGTTTAATCCATCGTACAGTATTGATACGATTTTTGTGTCGATGAAGCGTATGCGTTACTTTTCCAATTTTTGAAATATATGGATTATAAATTGCAACCGCATGACACGCTGCAAAACAAATAAGTCCATTTCTCCCCCAATCAGCCGAATGTGGAACTCTATTGCAAGCACACGATATATAACTCGTCATATTTTAATTTTAATAAATAAACCAATTCTTAAAACATTAACTTAACCTCAAAAACTACATGCGAGTGTACCATGCGATTTTCATCTTAAAAATGATGGAAAAGTTACTAGATATTAATTTCATCTATATTTTTTATCGCCGATTTCAGTTTTTTTTAAAAAACTTTATTCATTTTATTTATCTACTTTTATCCAGCAAGAAATTAATCAGAAAAATTCGGAGAACTAATGTATCTTTAATTGTTCTTTTAAAAAATGTAAAATTTAAAATTCCTTTATTTCTTTATTTAATACAAAATTTTTTTCTTTAATTTAAGTAACGAAAATTATATTTTTATAATTATATTTTTATAAGATTCATAAATGAAATTATAAAAGCTTTTGCAAAATAATATTTGTATGATTTTTTAATTTTTAGAAATTGATATGCGGACATTTGAATAGTATTGATGGATTATGCTGGTCTCCGAATGGCGAATTACTGTGCATTTGGTCTTCTTTTAGTAACGAAATGAAATTAATTATTTATTCGAGCACGTTCGAAAAAGATATCGCAGTATTCCATCCTACGCAGACTGTAAATTTATCTGAGATGGAATATACAAACTACAAACATTTAAAAGGAATTGAAAATGTAACGTGGATGGCCAGTGGACAGTTATTGGCTGTAGCAGGATTTAATGAAATGGTTGAATTTTATATATTTTGATAGGATTAAAGTGCACTTCTGTTTCGCTACGAAAAACGTACAACAATATTTATATTTCAGATCGTATTGTTAAATCATGTAACATGGAAATCACTTTTGCAATTATATCTTGAACCGGTAATTAGTGAAAATTATTTGAACAAAGTATACGAAGAACGCGTAATTCAATCAAAATTTTCCAATAAAAATGCGAATTATTATGATAAACATATTTGTAAGTAATCTCTTGTAGTTCGCGCAAATATAATTAATATTTCAAAAGGATCAACTTTTATAGTGGAAGAGAAATCGGAACGACCAATAAATATAAAAATTGGAAGGAAAAATATTACTGAAAGATTGTCAATTGCGAAATTTGACATTTTAGAATTTAGTTCTTGTGGACAATATCTAGCTGTAAAACATCAACTTTATCCTACAACATTGTGGATATGGAATATTATTGACGATTATCTCGATTATTTACTTCTTGAAAATACTATTGTAGGCATGTATTTTAATAATATATATTTTGTTTGTAAAAGTATTAAGTTAATGTGTTAATTAAAAATTTAAGCTGCAAGATGGAATCCTACACGCGCTCATCTTCTGGTATTTTGCGAGTGTACGTATGCATTTCAATGGACACCATATAATGCGAATTGTTTATCAATCCCGCGAAATATCACAGTATTAGACGCACGATGGCATCCTAGGGGAAATCTCTTATTGCTTTGTGGTTACAACAAAGTGATTATTTATCATATTGAAAATAAATGACGAATTATTTGAATATAACAAATATAATAAATAAATATATAATAAAAATGAAATTTCAACTAATTTGATTTTAATGTGTCGTTTAATTGTTGACAGTGTACATGAAACATAAGTATTATGTGGGAGTGGAAAGATGAATGATAGGAATGCGAGCCTGATTGGTTGTTTCAGACAAGTGTATTAACCGAAAGTGTCAAGTACATAAGGTTGTGTAGCACAACGTGTCGATGATCGAGGAAGGTTTTTATCGAAATTTCTTTCAAGCAATACGCAGTACCTGCCGGTGTTGTCATTAATCAGTATTTCATGTGTTCACTACCTCTTAGTCTTCATTTTTCTTAGATATTGAAATATATATTTGACAATTTATTTTAAAGTAGTTTGTGTTAATTATTTATAAATTACAAAATGAATGCTACTAGTGTCATTGAGTTAATGGACGATATTGTATTGGAAAAGAAACACGTGGAAAAGAATAACACGTGAGTATAATCTTTCATATGTTACAAGAATAATGTAATAATATATAATAATATATAATATAATATAATAATTAGAAATATAATTGTATTTATAAACACGTTAGAATATATTAAAAATATGTTGGTTAAACTTTGTTTAGGTAGTTAAAAATTATTTTTTTTTTTTTTTTTTTATAATAGATTCCAATAATTTGGGACAAAAATTACAAGTTTTAAAGACTCCAAAAGTTATTTTTGAACTTTGTTTTAGCTTCAGTCAAAATTTATTAGATTATCAAAAAAAGTGAATGATTTTTAATCTTTTAAAGTAAAGTTTAACCAATATTTTTTTTTTTTTTTGCACATATAATATTAAGTACAATTTAATTATTGTATAAGATACTATTTTTACATTGTTTAAAATTATCTTCTTATAAGTTACTTATATATGTTTGATAGAAATGTATCGTTGAAAAACAAAAATAAAAATGATGGTCCACATGTTCCAAGGCAACTGAAAGTAGAACTACAAACCTTAAGAATATCAGAAGAATCTGAACGTTTATTGTATGATACTTTAAAAAATATTTATGGTTCTGTATGTATTTATAGATATTTTTATAAATTCATTATTATTATATATTGTACATATATTATTTATATATTGTATATATATTATAAAATGTATTATTAGTAAATAACATAATTTTTTTAATAGAGTTTTAAGTTTTCGGATGTATCAGAATTTGAAAATAAAAGGTCCAATTTAAGCAAAAATTATTGGGTAAAAAGGGCTAATTTAGTTATTAAAGGAATAGTTGATTATTCTTCTAAAGATAATACACCTGAAATTGAAGGACAAGTTATTAGACAATTTGCAGCATTCACACTTGAAAATTATGGGTAAGTTAATTCAATTGCAAGTAATGTACACTCATATGTAAATATTTATATTATTTCCAGTTTCCATCGACCTCATTGTATTGAGGCATTATTACATACAGGGGGTGATGTAGGAAAATCTTTAGAAGTATTATTTTACAAATATTATGGATTAGAAAATGTCACAAAAAATAAAATACCTGATGATATTGATACAACAGATTTATTGGAAAGAAGAAAAGAGGAAAAAGAAGCATTAGAATCTATTTATGAACATATGTTTAATGAAAAAGTAAAAAATCAAGTTTGGGTTGTACAAGTTAAATTAGACTATTTAGTAAAAAATGATGAAGTAGAGCAAGAAATCCAGAAGATTAAGAGAAAACAAGAAAAGCAAAAGGAGAGAGAAATTTGCAAATTATTTATTCACAAAAAATGTAGATTTGGAGATAAATGTAAATTTTTACATCAGCAAGTAGAGGCGTTAAAAATACCTGAAAGAGATGACCCATTATTTACGCTGGAAATAAGATTCCCTGAAGGTATTATAACTATTTATATAGCTATATATAATGTAGACTGTGCACTTAATCTTTATAAATATTCCATTAGGTTGTAAATATCCTTATGAACCACCTTATTTTTATATTTATAAAAATAGTGGTACCTATCCAAATATAAATTGTTTAAGAATAGCAAGAAGGTTGTATGATGAAGCATCCCGAATATCTACAGATGGAACACCTTCTATTTTCTCAGTAATATCTCTTTTAGAAAATGAATATGATATAAAAGGGTATTTAGAAGAAAATAAAGAACAATTTCCAGATCAAATTGAATTATTATTTCAAAAAGATGAAAATGAAGATGAAGAAAATGCAGCTACTCATTATAAATTAGGATCTGTATATAGGAAAAGTAGAAATAATGATAATTGGGATGAAATATTAAAAATAGATGATCTAATTGAAAAGAACTTTAAAGAGCAACAATCGAATCCCAAATATAAAAAGATGAAAGAAGATAGGAAAAAGCTTCCTGCATGGTCAAAAATGAATGAAATTTTAGATTTGATACAGAAGAATCAAGTTGTCATAATTTCAGGTGAAACCGGATGTGGTAAAAGTACACAGGTGCCACAATTTTTATTAGACGATTGGATTCTTAACAGATCCAAGTCTAAAGAACGTATTAATATAATATGTACACAGCCACGAAGAATAAGTGCAATAGGAGTAGCAGAAAGATGCGCTGCAGAAAGAAATGAACGCATAGGTGATACAATTGGTTATCAAATACGATTAGAAAATAAAATTTCTGATAAAACCAAAGTATTGTTTTGTACAATAGGAATTTTTTTACAAAGATTTTCTCATATATCAGATGTTACACACGTTATAGTAGATGAGGTGCATGAAAGGAGTGCAGAAAGGTAAGTTATCTCTTATATTATTGTTCATTTTATCTTAACTATTATTTATTTATTTTGATTTAATTACTTTTTTAGCGACTTTTTATTGATGCTGTTAAAAGAATTATTGCCCAAAAGACCAAATCTGAAAGTAATACTAATGAGTGCAACGTTTAAAAGTGAAATGTTTTCTACGTATTTTAAAGGAGCTCCTATTCTACATATTCCAGGAAAAATGTTTCCTGTAGAACAAATTTTTTTGGAAGATGTATTTGAAAAAACAAATTATATTTTAGAAGAAAATTCGAAATTTACTCGTAAAATTAAAGGTGATTGGGAGCAATTGCAAATTGATTTAGAAACTGCAGAAATTCAAAGTTTCTCCACTGTTAAACAATCTATCGAAGATGAAAATCTATCACTAACGCAGATTATCAATAGATATCAAGATTATAATAAGCAAACGCATAAAAATTTATACATTATGGATCATAATAAAATTAATTTTGAACTTATAGAAACAGTACTAGAATGGATTAGTTTTGGTAAACATAATTACTCTAAAACAGGTTCCATCTTAGTAAGTAGTTTAAATAAATTTTCGTATCATACGAAAAATATAAAATATTTATTTAAATTAATATTGTTAATAAATTTGTAGGTATTTTTACCGGGATTAGCTGAAATTATTGAATTAAGAAAGCGATTGAATAACAATAGAAATTTCTGTCCAAAGACTGGAAAATTTACTATTATACTGCTACATTCATCTTTATCCAAAGAAGAACAAAACTTAATTTTTAAAAAAACTGACGCTAGGAAAATTATATTAAGCACAAATTTAGCTGAAACGTCTATCACTATAAATGATTGCGTTTTTGTAATTGATAGTGGAAAAATGAAAGAGACTAGATTTAATTCTAGTCAAAATATGGAAAGTTTAGAAACATGTTGGGTTACACAAGCAAATGCGTTACAAAGAAAAGGTCGTGCTGGGCGCGTAATGCCTGGAATATGTGTTCATTTATATACTTCGTACAAGTACGTTGTTGTTAAACTAATTTAATTAAGACATTATATCTTATAGTAATATTTTACTAATATTTATTCAATTTAAAATATTTTTTTCAGATTTAAGTATCACTTTTTAACACAACCAGTACCTGAAATATTACGAATCCCTTTAGAATCACTACTATTACGTATTCAACTTTTACATACAGGAAAAAAAGTTGATTTATATGAAGTTTTAGGTAATAACAATATTTTAAATTTCGGAATTTAATTAACTTTCTAATATTTATTATATTTCTTATATTTAGGCAAAATGTTGGAACCACCAACAAAAGAAAGTATCTGTAGTGCAATTAAGCGTTTACAAGATGTTGGGGCATTTGATTCAGAACATATGTTAACTCCATTAGGTCATCATCTTGCAGCATTGCCTGTAAATATACGTATTGGTAAATTAATATTATTCGGCGTGATCTTCTGCTGTCTTGATTCTGCACTTACTATAGCAGCTTGTTTATCTCATAAAAACCCATTTACTATACCTTTTGAAAAAAAAAATAAAATTGATGTAAAACAACAATTTTTTACTGCCAATTCTGATCAACTAACTATTTTGAAAGCCTATAAGGTAAGAATATAAAAATAAATATTATATCATACAATTATAATATTAAAGCATAATTTTTTTTCATAGAAATGGGTTCAAGCACGTACGCGCAGCAGTAGTGCAGGCCAAGCTTTTGCAAATGAAAACTATTTATCTCTGCAGGCTTTATATGCCTTAGCAGATATAAAGTATCAATTATTAGAATTATTAGTTTCAATTGGTTTTGTCCCTATTAATTTACCCAAGCGACAACCAAATGTTGATAAAATTATGGAAATTACTGGATCTGAACTTAACATTAATAATGACAATTATAAACTTCTTCAAGGTTTACTTTGTGCAGCTTTATATCCTAATATAGCTAAAGTTTTTACACCAGAAAAATCCTTTCAAGTTCAGTCTACTGGAGCAGTTCCAGTACAGCCAGACCCCAAACATAGATTGCTCCAAACTAAAAATAATGATTTCGTTAATATCCATCCATCTTCAGCCAATTTTCATGTTAGTAACTTACCTAGTCCATATTTAGTATTTCAAGAAAAAGTTAAAACAAATAAAATATTTATTAAAGAGGTATCAGTGGTACCAATTTTACCGTTATTATTATTCTCTAATTATGAATTAAAAATAGAACTGCATGATGGAATATTTATTGCATCACTAGAAGATGGTTGGATTTTATTTAGTATTGAACATCACAGGGTAAGCATATTGACTTTTAAGGAAATTATATTAAAAAAAGAAAAAATATTACTTATATTTTAAATATATTTTTAATGTTATTTAGGTCGCACAACTTTTACAAAGAATGAGAATAGAATTACACAAGTTGTTAGAACAAAAAATGAAGGACCCTCTTTTGAATCTATTAAACTACCAAAATGGAAAAAAAATTATTCAAACAATTGTGAATGTAGTTACAAGAGAATAAATTATGCCTTACCATTAATTTTATACTTTTTTCCATTTTTTAAAATTTTTTAATATTAAAAATCTTTAAAAAAAATAAATATTTTACTATAGTATATTAATTTTGACTATACTTACATGACTATATTGACTAAACATGTATATATGTGTATATAATATATATAACGTATATGTATATAGAACTATTGTTATTTTGAATAAATTTAAATAATTTTAAATATGAAGATGCATCCAAATTATCCAAGATTGCCATCGATCCTTAGATCAACTGTTATAGCAATCATTGGAACTTATAAATATCAAATTTATGGATATTGAATAAATCGCACTGCAGGGATGCGGGCACCAAATGAAATCATCATAGTGTTCGTAAAGAGACACCTAGGAATTAAATGACTTACTCGATTTAGTATGCATAAACCTCTCAGTGTCGCCCGATTCCAAAACGTGGGATGTGAAGTTTTTTTTCAAGTTCTTATTAATCGTAACTTGTAATTTAAAATAAAATTATGATGGATACGGAAGATATTGTAATAGAAAAGGTAATAGAAAAAGTAATGGAAAATAGAAATTTAAATAATGAATTTATAGACTGTACATCAGATATTGATGAAAGTAATAACGTTCCATGTACTAATGAAGATAATTCATCAACATACAAAAAAAATATACAAATTAACATTAATGAGACAAATCAATGCACAGATGATCATGAAATAGTTATAATTAATAATGTAGAAACTGAACAAAATTCTAATAAAAAAGATAACCTAAATGAACTAGAGAACAAATCAGCTGTGGTATCAAATATTGAACAAAATGAGATATTTATCAACAATAGTAACAAAAATCAGGACAAAGATATAATATTAGAAAACTTAAAACAGAAGAAAGATGATGACATTTATATCATACATGAAGTAAACACAATATCATCAGCTCAAAGTAAAGAAATAAAATATTCATTATAATAAAAAGTATTTGCAATTATCATTGAAATAATAATTGAAAATTGTATTCTTTTCTTAACAGAAAGTGATAAAGTGTCTTCCCTTGTTAGTATTGCCCTAGAATATGGAGATTCTGATTCAGAAACAGAATGTAATATTGATGAGATTAATTGTGATAACAATCAAAGTCAACCTTTGAAAGAAATACAAATGCAAACTTATAGACAAAATAAAGAAGTATCATCCAGTGAAGAAAGTGATACTGAAGATTCTAGTGATTCTTCAGAAATAGAGTCAATTGAATCTGATGATGATATTTTAAGCAAGTATGCTGTTTGTCTAAATTTTTATATATATATAGCAGATTTTATATATTTTATATTTATGTAGCAGATAAATTTTATATAAAATATTAAAATAATTTTATGTATTTTCAGGAAGAACAAAGGAAACAGTGAAAGAGGACAAAAGAATAACGAAATAAAAAGTGAGTTAGATGATCTACCTCCTATTGAAGATTTAAAAATTAGTGTCCCTGAAGTATTATGCGATCCATTAGGAGAGGTACTTACAAATCTTAAAATAATTTTGAATCTTAAAATAATTTTGAATTATATGATAGAATGAATTTAAATTTAGGTTGCTTGGATGGTTGAACAGTTAGTTGTTGTAAAACCAAAACCTGGTAAACCAACATTGAATTTAGATACAATTTTATTTGTTGACAAAGGACAAAGAACATTGGGAAAAATATTTGATGTTTTTGGACAAGTGAATGAACCTCATTATTGTGTAAGATTCAACAGCTCTAAACACATAACAGAATGTAACATTACAGTAGGAATGAACGTTTATTATTGTCCAAATACAGAATATACTTCTTTAGTATTCTTGCATGAATTATTAAAGTAAGTTTAAATATTTAAACATAATTATGTTATTTAATTATTTAAATGTAATTAGCATTATAGTATTTATTTAGTATATGTACTAAGTAATTTATAATGATTACAGAATTAAGGGTATTGATGCAAATGCAGATGATCCCCCAGAGTTTTCAGATGATGAAGAAGAACGGGTTTATTATGAACAACAAAAAGCAAAACAAACAAATAATACTGATCAAACTGATATTCCATTTAAACGAAAGCATACTTCAAGTATATTTCTTATCTCATATCTTCCAATTATCTTATCCAGTGTATTTTTTATTAATATTTATATTTTTAGATAAACCTGCTACTGGCTGGCAGTCAAATCATCCATGGAATAGAAAGATGCAGAATCAAAGAAGAGGATTTTATGGACGATTTCCTTCTATGCAAACAAAAAACCAGTCCCAAAATTTATGGTCACAATTTTATCAAAATAGGAACGAACCATATGAACATGGAATGCATTCATTGCAATATATGCAATATATGAACTATAATAGTGGTGTTAATCAAAACTTTTATGGCTCACACAATTATTATAATGAAAATGCTGCTTCAACATATCTAAATCCTAAAATTCCTTTCAATTCATGTCAAAGAATTCCTCCACCAGGTTATATAACACCACAGAATCATCCAAGTTCATCTACAAACGTAAGATTTCAACCTAGAAACATATCTTGGCTACCACAAATGCCACAAGTTCCTATTAGAATGAAATTACCATGGATACCTGTACCACCATCTCCACCCCTTCCACCAACTTCGTCATCGTCAAATATTTAAATATTGGTAATGTAATTATTTATGTCATTTTTTAATTTAGTTTTATATTTATAAATATTTCGAAAATAAAAGAGAAATAATTATATGTATATTAAAAATAATACAAATAATTGACACATATATGTAATGACTTAAAACTATTCTTATAGATTAATTAGTAAACTATGAGCTATAACAAATTGTAAGTTTATATTATTTTTTTATATAGCGAAGAAATATAAAAATATGTATAAAATGTTTCCATAATTACCGTTATTTACAATATAAATTACATTACATTGTATAATTGCATTATTCTTTTAAAAATGTATTATCTTTATAAGCCATCATATCTGATTTTTGTAACTGTTCTTCAGCAACTGCTATATCATTTTTTATTGCTTGAATCAATTCCTCTGAAATAATAATAATTCATTTGATAAAAATAGGATTTTTGTAAATCTTGATGTAGGTATTAGTTACCTTCAGAAGTAAAATCTTTTTCTGGTCGTATATATCCTGTGAAAATGGCTTTAATTTGCTTTCCATAGAAATCATTCTCAAATTTATGTATTAAATGTATTTCCTACAATAATTAATATATATTAATATATTATTAAAAAATGGATTAATGTTTAAATGGATTTCATGTTACCAAGATTTCAATTATTCTTACCACTGTCTTTTTCTCATTTTTATAAAATGGATTCCAACCAATACTGGCAACCATTTTATAAGTTTGTTTATTTATGGTAGCCCATCCATAATAAATTCCAGTAGTAAGATCATGAGGTAAAGTATCTACTACCTTGTCTTCAAGATTTGCTATAGAAAATAATTTTACACAAGTTACACAAAATATTAATGTTATATTACACTAAAAAAATTATTTTTTCTTTTATTCATAATACATAATTATTTTAATTTCAGTTTCAATACTTTTAAACAAAATATTTTTTTTAATGAATGCAAAATAACGATTTGACACAATACGTAATATTAAATAAGTTTCTTAATACATTTCATATATTGCCGCCAAGTAGAATAGGACAATTACGTCCTTTAATTGCGTCTAATTCTAACTATCTTCTAGATTAACGTGATTTCAAATTGTTTGCTGTTAAGTTAGAAATTTTTAAATTTATTGAACAAGAACAAAATTGTCGAACTTTACCTGTTGGTATTCCTAAAGCTTTAGAACCTCTGCCAAATCCCCTAACCACCAACCCTGATAAAAAATATGGCAGGCTTTTAGTACACATAATGAATTTTGATGTCGCGTCAGACTTGTAACTTGTAACTTGTAACAGTTGTCAGATGTAGGGGAAACATGGCGGCGTAAGGATTTCGTAGTAGGCAGTAGTAGAAGGAAGAATAGAACCGTGGTGGTGGACTTTACGGTCCAATCCGCGGCGATATTTTGTTATTAATTACTATTACTATCATGACGTAATTACTATTCTATCATAATTCATTGCATGGTTATCTAGTTCCTATCGATAAGAGATTTTCTGATTCTGGAAGCTCTGCTTGTAACTATGCTTCATAATATATAATCTTGAAGAAAGATAAAGCGTCTGTTATACGTGACATATTTATATACTATTTGGAATCATATTTATGAAATAAATTAATTACTTTTAAAACAAATTATCTAGCATGTACTTGTATGAGATAAAAATTATATAAAATTACAAATATACTTATGGAAAACTTGTCCTGTTCTAGAATTCTGTCCAAATTAATTAATCATTATGTGTTGTGAATTATCTATAGGCAATTTTTTTACTCATTATCATATACTATTTTGTAAACAACAAAAATTTATTAAAAGTAGTTTGTAATTAAAAGTAATTTGAGTTTGTAATTGAAATTTCAATGTTTCAGGAAGTACAGAGATTTATAAAATAAAATTTTTTACTTTTTTTAAGTTCAAATATCCTTTAATTTAAGCAACGTTTAAATAATTTCTTGACTTAAGATAATTAAAATACAATATTTTGCTACTTGCTTTTTTGTTGCAACTGTTTATGTTTGTAAGTTAGCAAGTATGGAAATAGTATAGATATTAACCTATATAAAGATATTAATATTATAAGAATTACATAATAAAAAATCAAGTTTAAACTATTTATTGAAGAACATTATCTTTTTTTTAACGTGAGAAACATTTAAAAAAAAATACAATGCTTTTATAAGCTTATAATATATAAATGTTGAATATAATTTTTGACAAATTACAAAAATATAAAATTGTTATTCTATATATAGAATAATAATTTAACGAGGGCACATAACATGTCTTCCTCCATCAATAGATAATGTTACACCAGTAACGAAACTAGCTTCGTCACTTGCCAAGTATGCAATAGCTTTTGCAACCTCGGAAGTATCTCCTGATCTGCCAAGTGCATGGGTATCTTTGCTCTTAGCAAAGAATGCTTTCAATTCTTCTTCTGACATTCCACTAGTTTTATGAAGCCTTGTTACTATTACACCAGGATTCACAGCATTAACCCTTACCTAGAAATTAAACAATGACATGAAAGCTACTATTATAATTACTAATTTTTAGTTATACATACTTGTTTTGGTGCAAGTTCAAGAGCCACACATCGTGTGAATTGATCAATTGCTGATTTACTCATACAGTATGCTAAAACTCCTGGGAAGGACCTTAATCCAGCAACACTGGATACATTCACAATATTACCTTTAGTTTCAACAATGTGTGGGACAGCTAGCATTGTTAAATGATATATTGAACGTACATTTGTGTTGAAAACTCTGAAATAATAGTATGTACAATTTTATAAAATTAAGGTTAAATTTTATAAAATTAAGGTTAAATTTTATAAATTTAAGCTATATGTATATATATGAGATATGCTTATACCTATCATATTGTCCTAATGAAGTATTTTCTATACTTCCATTTTCTAATATACCAGCATTATTAACCAGGACATCCAGTTTACCATAATGTTTGATAGTAGTTTTCATAATATTTTCAATATCCTTTTCATTATTTAATTCTCCAGTTATAACTAATGGTTTGTTAGACTTACATTGTTCAGCTACTTCATTCAATCTTTGTAAATTACGACCTGTTAATGACAATAATGCACCAAGTTGTGAAAAATGTACAGCAGTTGCTGCACCAATGCCAGAACTAGCTCCAGTTATTAATACAACTTTTCCAGCAAATGCCATCTATAGAAAATTGTGAGTTACAATAAATTTTATTTAAAAAAAAATTAATATTATTACATTTATCTCTAAAGTTTTTTTAATTTATAAACTTATATAATATAACATATGTATGTAGTTTGTGACATGAATTATTTCAGAATAATTGAATTTTTTTTCAATAATTTTTTCATAAATACTTACCTTTATTGATAAAATATTTAATATATTATTATTAAATGTTTTTTTTAAAACCTTATTGATTTAGATATATAATGATATATTTATATTACTCAAAGTTATATTCTCGTTATTGAAGTAAGACGTAATACAAATAGTTGCTATGTGGCACATTTGATATTAATGTAACGTTCGTGAAATTTTTACGAATCGACTATAGAGTGATTGTAACTATAGATACAGTCATACACTCGTGTATAAAATTAACTATTTAAAATTTTGCATTCGTAATATAGAATTACCATACATTCCATACATTCGCGTCCATAAATATAAATGTATTTACATTTATAATTTATTCAAATTATTAAAAAAATGTAAAACGTATGATAGGAATAAATATTTAATTTTGTAAATCTATAATTTTTTTAAACAATCATAAAAACAATTAACTATTTTAAAAACAATTTATTAAATTAGATATATTTTCGTAAAATTTAATTAATGCAAATATACAGTAGAAATTGTAATTAATGCTTTCTAAATAAAAATTAATGTACTTTTTAATTTGTTATTTTTATTTGTTCTAGTTCAGCTACTACAGTATTTAAATATTTTTCAACTTTTTCCATTGATACATAAATTTTTCCAGTATTCCACTCTTTATCTTTAACTTTTTTTATAATTCCTTGAAGAGATAATTTTGCGCTTGCCAATAGCGTTCTTTTTTTCTTAAGTTCACAGTTGGCAAGTATACATTGCAAGTATGTTTCTGCTAATATATGAGATAATTGTAATACTTTCTCAACAGATTCTTCATGTAAAAGCCATTTGGGATCTGATAGAGCAATACGATGTGCTTGCTGTAAATATTGTACTGCTTTTTCATTATCAATATCAGTTTTTTTAAGAGCTGTAAGTTGCCCATACATTCTCCAAACGTCAGAATTATTAGGTATGAATGAAGTAATTCTTCCAAATAACTCCAAAACTTTTGGAAGTAATTTTTGTGTAAAATTTCCATCTGAATCATTTATATTGTTTAATACGGCATTAGTAAGTATATCAAGAATTTGAACATCTAAATGATGATTTTTCAAATCTAAAATACGATGATAACATCGAATCACCTAGGAAAATTTATAAAAGATATAAATCGTTAAAAAATATAACTTTAAAGAATTTAATTTTTATTAATGTTATGTATCCGTACTTCTGAAAAATGTCCCAAATCAATGCTGACAACCATTAAATTATCCCAAATTTGCCACTGATCATAATTACATTTAATAGCATCTTGAAGAGACTTCCATGCTTTTGCTTTATCGCCTAATTTTATATAAGCTTTTGCTAAATTGTTCCATGCCTCGAATGTCTATAAAGTTAAGTATTTATTTATTTAATACATATTACTAATAGATTACTCCTAAATATTAATACACACCATTTGTTCTAGGGCACAATAACGTTTATATGCTGTTACTGCCAATTTCCAATCTTCCACTTGTAAAGCAGCAAATCCAAGTCTTATCCAAACATTTTCTTGTATGTTATTTAATTCAACTGATAATTTTAAGTGCGGTATAGCTTTTTCATACTTAAAAATAAAAATATAATTACACATTTAGTTAAATTACTAAAAAAAAAATTTTTAAACTAATATTTTTGTATTTACATCTTGCTTGGCAAAATAAAAAAATCCCCACTGTCTTTGGGCTCTACTACTTTTTTCATTGGACAGTTCCCATGCTGTTTTATAATAATTAGGATTTTGAGTTGCATCACCTAATAAGCACCATAATTGGACTGATGGCTTCTTAGATATTTCTTGTTGTATAATTTCTGCTGCCTAATATTAATAATAAAATATAAAAATATAAATTTATTCATTTTATCGGTATTAAAAAAAAATTACAAAGACCAAGAAATATACTTTGTGTTTCAGTTCCAATACATTGTAACAGGCTATAACTTCTTCCCATAACTTAAGCTTCAAGAAAATATCTAAAGCACCCTTTACCAATCCAAGATTCAACATCAATTGTGCCCACATTTGTTCTAAAGTCCAAATTGGCTTAAGACCACTGGCAAAGAATAAATCCATTCTATTTGCAACAGAGACGTTTGATTTGTTTAATTCATGTATTAAATATTCCATTTGTATCATTGATCGTTCAACAGTTCGTTTATCCCCAGATTCCAAGGAACATCGATAATAAAGAGATGCCATTTTTAAGGACCAATTTCTTGTATTATTTACTACTACCTATTGAAAAATAATCTTTGATAATAAATAAATAAATAAATAAATATATATATGTTTATTTATATAAAAGCCAATGATGCTTACAGTTAAATAAGGTGTTACTTCTTCATCCATCAATTTATCTCTTGGTTGTGATAACTGTAATTGGATACTATTAAAAGTAAAATTTACGTAATTTTTGCTTTATAGATATGATACAATAGAAATATAACGTGTTCTTACTATTTTGCTAATACAATAGCTTCTTCTATTGCTCCCATTTGTGTATTTTCTATATTTCTTGAAAATTCAATATGTTCTAATCTAATATCGTCATTTAAATCTATAGACTTTGGTAAATTTTTACAATTTCTAGAAGGAAATTGTTCTTTTTCTAAAGTTATTCTTAAAAATAACTGTGCCTTGTCTTCTTGATATTTTGTACGTTTACCTAACGCACCTTCAAGATTTAAACTCAATTTTGCTCTTTCCTGAGCAAGTTCAACATATTTTTCTGAATTTTGAATTCTCTTATAATAAAAATAAAACTGTGCAACTTCAATATAAAGTAATGTCTCACAATAAAGGTCTTCTTTTAACAGCTGCAAATTACTGATTTTCTGAATTAACTGTTCTGTCTCATCAAATATTATACCAGAACTTTCATTTAGTATAAGTTGATGTAAAAGATTTGTCCTAAATAGCCACCATATACAGCTCTCATAGGCATTTTGTAGAATTTCATTTGAGAATATTATTTTAGAAAAATAAAGAAGATGAGACATTTTAACATTTGCATTATATTCATCGTGTAAGGATAGATCTTTAAGTATATTTTCTTTATTAATTTGCCATTTAATGTTTTCTTTAATTTCTGGACCTGTCCAATTCTGTTGAATGAAATATAATAAAGAAGCTATGCCTGTGCATAACCATAAATCATACAAATCTGTTTTTTTTATATTATCATATATAAACTTAGGAATGTTGTTGCCATCATTTAATTCTTGAATTAGAATTGAAAATAATTCATCATTCATAATATTTTCATAATCTCCATTTAATATATTTTGCACACACATAGGCAAATCCTGAACTAAAACAAATAAAGTGTAAAACAAGATTTTATTATATTGAAATATGTTAGTGACAGTGAATATAACCTAATATGATATTATAAGTATAGTAATTTTTAAATTGTTTACCTTCATTGTTGATGGAATTTGTTAATATTAAAATTTCAATTTCTTTATTTATCGATTTTCTCACGTCCAAAAAATTCATTATTGTGATATAATATTACTTAAGAACACGTGAGATATTGTCCACAAAGAGTATTATCCACAATCCTGTGTCAATAATTGCAATTAAATGAAAAATATTGAGATAATATTATTTTTTGCAAATTAATATTATAAAAAACTATAAAATTTAAGTAGCTGATTGAATACTGCAAATAATAAAATATGATACATAAATATATTATATATATAAACATATCATTATTTTTGTTTATATCTTAGGAATCGTAGGTTAAGTTATATTTATTGTATGTTAACTAATTTTTTATTAGTCTCTTGTAATATTAATTTCTATTAATCAATGTAATAATCTTGAGGAATTATTTATACTTATAGTTTAATATGTTTATGTAAAATATATGTATTATAATCTTTATTATGGCATAAAATAAATATTTTCAATACATTTCAGGCGTTTTTTGTTTAAATTAAAAAATTAACTTTAGAATTAAAAATATAAACGAGGAAGTTGTAAGATATTTGCCTTGTTAATTACATAACTTCACAAACTATTTTTCTTATTATTACTATAGCAGAATTATACTATCACATAAGTAAATTGAATATAATTATTTTTTACAATTATATAATATGTTCTTATATGATTTATAATAACTATTATATAGCACATATTACAGGAAATCATCAGAACTGGATATTCTCAGTTATTTCCATGTGTCTATATAATCTAATAATAGATATATTACAATTAACAAACAGATATATCGAATATAAGCTTATAATACTTAACAATATTTTTTGATCCGTACAAAGGAAAAGATAATTTTCTTTCCATTGTAGCTAATTTTCTAATACTGAAAGCATTGAAAAAAAACATTAAATATAATATACGTTTAATCAGGTAAATCTTCCACTTTTGTATAAATATTTATCGTAACATTAAATAAATTATTTTGGAAAAATTAATAAAACCAGCAATGTGTAGCATGAAATGTGCTTCATAAAGATTGTTGCGACACATTTTGAAGTTCATTTCATTCATTTAAATCATTTGAATATTTAAAGGAATAATGTAAAGACGAGGATAAACATTGATTTTTTACACAATTTTTTTCAAAAATTTACATCGTTCTCGTTGTTATTGTCATTAGATTCTTTTTTCGCAGCTATCAAATTTTCCCATTGCGCGATGAGAGTGCTTCTGCGTCGTGGATTTGGCTGTACAAAATTAAACACACATTACTAATTGATTACCATTTAAAAATACGAATGCGTGTACTTATTCTAATACTTGACCAACACAAATAATTAGTCATTGTCAAATACATACATTTGCGCATTCAAAAACACATTTGAACTTTAAAAGACTAGTATCAATACCTTATGTTTCCCTTTAGTTTCTTTTTCTACTTCGTCCTCGTTCAAGGTATTGGTCGAGGTACCGCTTCTTAACGAACTTGAGCCATCATAAATATCGGAATCATTGTCGTTTCCAATATCCAAAAGATTTGGTTGAGACTTGGCCAACATTTGAGATCGCATTAATCTAAAAATGTATGTAATTGTTCATTACATCATAAAATGGAGAACACATACATACACACACATTATTGTTATTATAAAATTTTACCTCGATGGTACACTCTATCCGATAACAATGTACGATTGAAAATAACATTGATAGATCCCGTTAGAACAAAATAATACTAAAAAGGTTGTGGTTCTCGAGAAAATATAAAAAGTTTGTAACTTATATCATTCAAATAATAGAATTATACATTTGTTATACATTTATCACTATATAAAGGAAAGCAAAATAATGTAATTGTAAAACAAGCACGTTACCTAAGCTCGTTCTCTCGCTCTTTCATTTCGTGTAATTCTTTCTGAATTTTTTCTTCTACAGGAACGTATCCCTTCCTAACGGGAGGTTTCTTCGGCTCGTCGTCTGGTTCGAATTGAATTTCCAAACTCCTATTGAAAGCTTTGATGCTCAATGGATTGAGCGTGATGCTGGGCGTCGTGAGCGGTGTTACCGTGTCGTTCGCCGCTGATTTTGGTTTATAAATTTTCCCCCGTGTAGCCAGGAACCTGTGCATCAGACCTTTTTGACTAGGTGCTGTCGCGAAACGCAGAGGTGTAGGAGTGGTGCGACTGGATATAACTCCGTTCGTCATCTTTGGCGTCAAGGGCGGTGTAGATGGTGTAAAACTGACTGCTTCCAAAATTTGTGGCGTTGATGTTGTCCTCTTCAACTTCCCCGAGGCCAGAGCTTGCGGCATGCGTCGCACCTGTTATATAAAATTCTTCCAATTACGTACAATCGAGAATACAATCCTTAGTTAAATATCTAAGAAAGCGGCAACGTTGTAAAAATGCAGACAATCTAATTCTAAGTAGAAACGAGTACGTTTAAAATAAGTTCACGTGTTATCTTCAGGAACAAAAGTACAGCGTGTAAAGGAATCGAAATGACCTTTGTAACACACGATGTACATTATTTAGCGAGTTGCAAATTATACTTAAGAAGCTATATTTTCAATCATTATTATCAGCGCTACACAATAGTTGCGTCA